GAACAAGTATGAATCGCTCACTCTCGACCAGTGGGGTCAGGACCTTATTGGTGCAAACGATGTGCACAATCATCACCACTCATCCCTGCAAAAAATAGTGACTTCAGACTTTTCTTCTGTTTTTGCGCTTTTTTTTACCTCCAATTATCCCAAAATTCGACATCGACCCTTCTACACGTGTTAGGACCTGTAATGTATCAAAACAAGCACAACCTAGCGTGAAATATGTCGAGGAACGATGAAATACTAAGCTAAATGAATAAGAAATGATGGGTAAAATGTGTACATTTGCGCCCGAATCACTCTCCCACACTTAGATGTTTGCTTGTCCGCAAGCAAACCATTTTCAACCTAGGTAATATTTCAACCTTCAGAGATAGCTAGGGGACATTTCAAAAGGCACAAGGCTGTGAATCTCAAATGACTATTTGGTCATCGACACTCGAACCATCTCAAACAAATCTGGCATCCACCACTAATGACATTCAATTGCGTAAAAAATGGGCAAATGAAAAGTTCTCTTTTTATCCGCAATCAATGCAAGTCTCAACCGGGCCACTAATCAATCACAACTGACCATGCATAGAACTCAGTCAACGGAACAGACAATAGGGCAACATAGGTCCTCACCGGGATAGATATGAATATTCAAGAACAAGAATGAATCGCTCACTCTCGACCAGTGGCTTCAAGACCTTTTTGGGATAAAAGATGTGCACAATCGTCACCACTCATCTTAGATTTTGCGCTTTTTTTTACCTCCAATTATCGCAAAATTCGGGCCTACAAGACAACTTGATAGACTAAGTGGGGAGGCTTGGTGGTAAAAGAGGCTCACGTAAAGACGGGTACGCAGGTCTAACTAATAAGACACTTCATCAAGGTGGTCAGGTTAACAAGGAGAGGGTGACACCAGACAAACAAGGAGGGGACTCTCTCGTATAATTAAGGTGGTAGCGATCTCAAGACAACAAGAGCAAGAAATGAGCAACAAAAGCTAAGTGTGGAGTCATCGGGATGTCAATGATGTGATCGAGACTTTGTCTTGGAGGCTAAGGCAAAGATCCTCTAGTCCATCCAATAAGGACATGGAGACAAGACTCAATACCAACTTGGATTGGTGTCGAGGCCATCAAGTACCAACCAGTCACATAAACGGGATAATGGGCCCCCAAGGCGATGGGAGTGAACACCAAGGTGACTGTTACCATTAATCATCAATGCGACGATGTGGATCCCGAGGCGGTTGAAGAAACCAATCAAATAGTGGTTACAAGGGCAGTTATACCTAATGGCTATAACTAGGAGAAACAAAAACTGGAAAAGGATTCTACAACCAGACACTTGATGACACCCAATTTCAAACTTTATCTTTTCTCTGCAATGTAGTCATAGTTGCAGCTTTTAGCTTCAGGGGCTATCACTTAGCCTTTATAGGATGAGTAATTTAATGTAGCTTGTTCCAAAAATACTCATAGAAAACGTCATACACCCTTATTTGAACATTGTTTGGAGATGTATGAATCATGTAATTATCGTTATTCAAGAACTCAAATGTGCATTCATGGATTCAAACACAAAAGTTTACTCATAGAAAAACATATACTTTATAACTTAATAAATTATATATTTTTTTAAAAAATTTAGTCATAACTTTAAAATAATTTTTTGAAGATGTAATTTCTAAGTAAATTTGTTGGATCCGTCAGGAATGTCTGATATTTGGTGTTATTTTGTGTGGTAGGATATTCAGAGATTCACCCTGAAATAGTGGAACAGTCAGTCTTGTGCAGAATTTACTCTCAGATTGGTGATGACAGCAAAGTAAGCATGGTGGGGTTCAAGTTGATTTAGGCTTGAGTATTAATAATGCAGCTCCATTTTTGGTGTTTTGATAAATGCTTCTTCTCGATTCCGTATTCTTCCTTGTTAATATATATAAATTTGAAGTAATGTTACCGTTAAAGTAACATTTTGATATTCCAAATTTAATTCAATCATAACTTAGTTATTATAATGTATATTTAACATTTTGATATCCTAAATTTAATTTTAATGTAAAATCATTGAACAATTATACTTTGGTATCTAAATTTTATGAGATTTTTGTATTCCGTATTCCTCCTTCTTAATATATATAATTCCGAAGTAATCTTACTGTTAGCTAACAAGTAACATTTTGATACTCCAAATTTAATTCAATCACAACTTAGTCACTATAATGTATATTTAACATTTTGATACCCTAAATTTAATTTTAATGTAAAATCATTGAAAAATTATACTTTGATATCTAAATTTTATGAGATTTTTGTATCCACAATTTTTAAAATTTACATATTGGTCCAATGGTTAGATTTCACTTGAATCCAATCCACCAATCATTTTCAACCAATCCATTAATCCAATCCACCATAACATAAAAGTATAGATTTAGTTTGTACAATACAAATTTTGTATCACTCAACTGTAGGAGAAGATTCAACAATTTCATATTTTCTCAACTCTAGAAGAAGATTCAACCATTTCATATTTGCTCATTACGCGAAACATTAAATAAACGATAAAACAAAGACAATTCTCAAATATTGCAACAACAAATTTGTAAACTCATTTTGTACATTCACGGGGTACTAAACAAACTTCTACGGTGAAAAGGGTTGATTGTTGTATTGCCGACCAATAAAAGAATCGGTCAAAACCTTTCCGTTATCTACTTCCTCTTCATTTCATTTTTCACTCGCCTTCCATAATCTTTTTTTAATTTCTTTGTTTGCCTTCTTCGTCTAACCCTAATTAGTATACTATTTTTATGTATTCTAATTACAAGTATCAATGGGTCCATACACGACTCACCAACAGTCTAAAGAATTAATAATTAAACCATAAACTTTTTCAACTCAATGTCAATGTCGAGTCCAATTAAAAATAAATATATATATGGTTATTACTTATTAGAAAGTCGTAATCTTCGAATATGGGATTTGAAGGCGTGAAATTTGTCACTCGGACTAGAATTTTCAACATTTATACATGGAATCTTGGGCTAGGTATCTACACATATCAAATAAATAGTTTAATTTTTCTATAAAAAAAGTAAATAATTATCATCTTAAATAGTTAAATACATCACCATAAAATGTATTGAGCCTCAACTTTGCAAATTATAGTTTGGTACCTAAACTTAATAGATCTTTAGATTTATAACCTAAATTTATTATTTTGACATATAAGCCCTCAAAATATTGATGGAACATTATATTTTAGTACCTAAAATTTTAGTGTATTATATTTTGGTACCTAAACTTTTGAAGATCTACAAATAGGTCTAATTTGTGTATGTTGAATTAAAACACCCTCGAATAAAAGGGTATTCATACCCAACTCACACACATTTAGATTACGTAAGTAAATATCAATACCCTACCAAAACCCATCTACCCATGATCAATGGCTCTACTTGGCTTTAGCTAAATACCATTTACTTTCCATAATTTTCAAAATATTTTAAATTGGATGTTGACCACCATATATCTCTTCTCATTTATATCATAATTTTAAGTCAATATTACTAATACAACTACTAATAAAAAATTAATTTTAGACTAATAATACTAACAAATACTATAAGGGTCCACATAATACATGCCCATATGTCAATGTCATTTCCGCCCATGACAAGGCGTGACATCACCGCCTAGTTTATAACAAAATCCATTTGCTTGAAAAAAATCACGTCTCTGTGAGGAGAGGAACCGTGCCCCTCTTTACTACGATGAAATAAAGGTTACTATTTTTCCCATGGAAACGGTGTTTAGCGACCAAATTAGTCACCTTATTGAGTTGAGGAGACCAGGGGTTTGTCAGTGGCGTCACCAGCAGCAACAAAATCTCCACTATCTGGGACAGCTGCCATGAAGATTCCAAGACAATCTCCCTCTAATTCCATCATCGCCTTTTTGTTTTCTTCGTTTAACACACTACTCCTGTCATTGACTATGTCATTCTAACCAATCGTTTCCAACTTATTACATTAAGAAACTCAACTGATTGGGACCTTAATCAAATGATTAATCTTCCATGTCAACGCTGGGGATCTTCGGCCAAAATTTGAAGCGTCTAAATTAAATAGCTAGTGGGGGGTGCATGGACGTCTAACGGGTGCGTGGTGACTCATATCATATATGGGATGGCTTGACAAAGTTTATGATAAATACCCAATATAATGCTATGTGAATCAACTAATCATAAACCAAAAACTTCATCGAGATTAGGAAAACGACATAAACATTGACCCGCGAAGAAGATTTTAAACAAAATTGCTTCTGTCATTCGAGATAATATCATATTATCATTGATTTCAGTGCTTCAGATACATAGCTCTAGCTAAATCGTAAAGAATCTTTTAAAAGATAAACGACATAAACGTAATCATGGATAGTGTGATCATCCGAAAGAATTAGGCATGTCAATCGGTCGGTTTCGATTTAACCGAAAACCTATTTCTCGGTTATCGGTTAAACCGAGACGACGCTGACAACTACTGACCACCGACCACCCGTCATGCCACGGTTATCCGCAGACCAATTGACTGGTTTTTGGTTAAACCCTCGGTTAACCTATTGCCGAAATAAAAGGGGAAAAACTCAAAACCCAGTGCCCATCTCTTCTAATCTCATCTCCTCATCCCTCCCATCGCACCCACCAATCCGGCCACCGCTACCAAGAAGGAGGAGAAGGAGGAAGGATGACGTCGGCGGCGGCAGCGGCAGCTCTTATCTCCTCCGATCTATTATCCCTCAACTCGCTACAATCCTCCCGTTGCACCCACTAATCCCTAGATTCAGAATCGATCTAGAGATCTGGCTGCATGGCTGCATCTCCAGACCAGATCGAAGAGATTTGGCTTCTTCCATCCAAAAATCACCGTCGGAGTAGGGGAGTGGCTGGGTGGAGGAGGGAAACGGCGGCGGAACTGGGTAAGGGGATTGGCGATGGGGTCACGAGCCCCTGCTTCTTGGCGAGGAACGGAACCGCGCAGATGCAGGTATGGTATGTGCCGCCGCAGGCGCGGAGGTTGTCGGAGATCCAGTCGTGGAGGCGCTCGCAGTTTTCGATGAGGCCCGGGAGGCTGCCGAGGAGCGGCCAGACACGGGGCCGCGGAGGGAGCGGGAGATGAAAGTGAACCAGAGGAGGTAGGCGGTGACTAAGGAGAGGAGGAGCAGGGCCGCGGAGATGTCCATCAGGTGTTCGTCGTGGCTGCGCGAGAAAGGGTTGGGGGTGGCGGGGGAGTGGGGATTGGGATTAGGGTTTCCATCTCATAGGCAGGGGGTCGTTTTGGCTTTTGGGTGAGGTTTGAGCGGGGTCGTTTTGGGTGGGGTCGGTTTGGGAGGGGTCGGTTTGGGCAGGGATGCAGGGTCGTTTTGTACTAAAGGGGAGGAGTTCGGTTAGCTGGTTAACCGCCGGTTTCCGACCACGGTTAATCGGCTAGCCGAGCATCTTCCCCTCTATTCCGACAACCGACCGCTAAAACTTGAGGACGGTTTTCGGTTAGCTAAAAACTGGCTGGTTCGGTCAAAACCGACCAGTTAATTGCTAATCGAAAACCGTTCTGCCAGCCCTAGAAAGAATAGAGTAAAAAACTCTCTATAGGGTACAAAACTCTCTTTTACAAGATTACTACAAAATTCAATCACAATATGCCAAGTTTAATTACATCTAAGATTTAACGCACTAAAAACATTTCCAACAAAAAAAATATGATGAGAGGCAGATTAATACAGTTGCAGAGGACAAATATCACATTTTCCAATCTCTTATTTTCTTAATAGGATCATATCTTCTTCGTTTTAATATTATCACTATGGTATAATAGTGATACGATGTTATCAAATTATTTTCTCGAAAATAAAAACTTCATACCAACTTCATATTACTATCATATCATGATATTATCATTATCACATAGTGATAATATCCTAAACGACAGTCAATAATGATGCCATGAATTTATTTTGTCAAACATAAAACCTCATACCAACATCATATCACTATCATATTATTAACATCATACCACTATCACATGAAAATCATATATATCAATATGATATCATACAACTATCAGTGGTATTATTAAATATTGTGATATGATAAATGGTTTGATGGCCTGAAAATTTTCTGCTCGGAAAATATTCAAATGGATAACATCTTATAGAGCACAAAAATATTATATTTCTACACAATTCTTAGAAATCCGATGTAAAATGAATGAGTTATCTTCCATTAAAATTCATAGGAGATGTAAAAAATACATTAACTTGCGCCTAGAAATCCATACAAGCCCCCGAAATCCGATATATTCTCTTCTTAAACTCCTACTTTCCTCGTTATCCCTATGAAAGATGCCTCCCCATCTCATACATCCATTATGGTTTTGTAGTGCTACAAAACTATATAATTTTGTACTGTAACTCAGGTCTTATAAAATAAACTAGAAATCATTAATAATTTATATGGTTAAGTTAGCACTCATGCAAAGTTATGAATGAAAATTAAAAGGATCCTTTTTTAAAATAAAAGTATTTAATATATAATTGAAGGGAAGAGATATGGTACAAAACTCAAACCAACAAAATCCTGGTCATATCACCCTCATATGAAATCAGTTATAATATGTAAATCTAGAATTCAGATCTAATGGTTGTGATTTGAGAAGAAGCGATCTACTTAGCCATATCATAGATGGATAAGGAGGAAAACAAAGAAGTTTGAGGACAAATAATTGGATTTTTTGGGCTGGCATGGATTTTCAGGCGTGTTATTAAAGCACTTTTTAAATATCCTATTGATAACACCGTATTTGTACATGTTTTCCTTTAATTTTTGATCGTTTAGCATAGTAATTGATCGCTTCTTAGGCTATTTTACGCTAGGTTGTGTTCTTGTGTCATATTTCAGTTCCTAGTATATAGATATGGCTTGGTGAAAGAAGGTCGATCGCGGAAACTGGGCAGCAGAGCTGCTGAAAAACACGCCCTCAAACACACCCTCTGTTGTAAAAAAACACGACCATGTGTCAGAGGCTGGGTTTTTCCTCTGCACTTCACATAAGCGTCATTTTGAAACACAGCCTGGTGTCAGATATTCTTCTGCACCGCCCGGTGGATCGTGAACGTGATGCCAGGTGTTACTCTCACTTCCTGTTTGATAACTTGTCCTCCTCCGCTGACGTGGACACGAACCAGACCTTTTGGCAGTCTTCTTCGCGAGAGGATGATAAGGAGGAGGATTGAGCCTGTGCGTGATTAGGAGTTTCCTTGTGTTGTGTGCTTTAATGTTTTGCACTTGTTGGTTTGAGTCGAACTGGATTGCGGTGTGTTTATTTTGTTTTCTTGTGTCCCTTGGGGCTGACACTTATGTCCTAACTCTTACCTAGTGTGAGTGGTTGTGTTGTGCCTTGTCTTGTTTTCAGAATCTGGTCATTCCAGTCTACCCCTGTTAATTGGTCCCATTTCCAGTCCCTCTACAATCCGTTTTCTCGGTATCATCATTCCCCTTATCTTTCCCTATGCTCCATTGATGGCAATGTTGTGCTTAAGTGTGTGTGTGTGAGGGGGGGGGGAGGTGTTTATCTTTGGCTGCATGATATGTTTGTGTGCTTGGAGCCTAGTCCACTGTCCAAATCTTACAATTTGAGGGCTCTAAGTGTTGTTCCTTGCAATAACCTCTTAAGTGTGCTTTGAATTGACAGCTTTTATAGTACTATGCAACCTAGGGAGGTAGTTGTAGCACTATGGGGGATGCTAAAGTATAAGATCTGTCTTCTCTTTTTCTTTGCTGTGCCGGTTGATTGTGTGAACTGGTGTCTTTAGGACCTTTGATTCATGTGGTATCGATGACTCTCCTTGGGCTGTGTTGTGGACTCATGTATCGTAAAAGGGTGCTCAAGTTCGCGTAACGAGAAGCAGTTGGTCCTCCATGTCGGAAAATTTGAAATATTAAACATGGGGTAAGCCCAACGTGTGTGGCACCGTTCATTGCGCAAAATCGGGGTTTGGAAGAGATTTTAGTGATCCTTGGTGGGGTAGGCCTACAAGGTGAAGCTAAGGAGTCTCTAGTACAGGTAAAAATTCCACTAGTTGAATGGTTTGCCTACTCGAGGATGTGTTTCTAAGGGCACAGATAGAGCTTCCGACCCCCCTTAGTTGCATTGAACCTCCACACGAGTTGAGGAAAAGGAGTTAAAAGAAGTGCTCTAACGAGCGACAAATGTACAGAAATTGCTCTGGCTGAATCATTAAAGGTCGACTATGCATAAAAATTGCAGTTTGGAACCCCAACAAAGAGAATGTGAAAAACAAAAGAAAACAGAAAAATTAGTAAGGAAAAGGGGTTCCAACGGTTGAAATGAAATGGAAGAGCAACCAATACGAAGAGTCCTTGGGTGTTATGTGGGTGAGTCTCTTCATCTATGAATTATCTATCCTAGGTCCACTACTTGGCATGATCCTGGCTTGAGTCTAGCACTTGCATTGAGAGAAATAAGGCATGGCTTAGAAAACTAGTTGACCTCGTAAGCTACTAAATGATCTAGGAAGTTCTCTACCCACGATAGGGGTTTCATGTTTCTGTAAAGGTCTGGAGAGTTGCATTTGTTTGAGTCAGATTTGCTTGGGGAAAAGAAAACGGTTAAGTGTTGGGGAATTTGATAACACTATATTCAAACATGTTTTTTCCATCATTTCTTGACCGTTTGAGGCTGGTTTATCGCTCTCGTGTCCTGTATTATGCTTGTGTGTGTTAGTTTATGATGTTTCAGGCCTTAGTGCATGAACGGGAGCGAAAGAGCGAGTTTCGGGACATTCTGGAGCGAATGAGCAGCCGATACCTAGGAGTTACGGTCCGACCTTTCAAGTTACGGTCTGGCCCGTAACTCGCCTCAAAGAGCTGTAACTTGCGAGTGGAGAATGCAAGGTTCCAAAAGTCTTTTTGGAGTTACGGTCTAGGTCGTAACTTAGCCTTTGCACCCGTAACTCTTGGGTAGCGGCGACATCAGTTCCAGAGGAGTTTTTGGATTTACGGTCTCTCTCAGTAGTAGTAATGGCATCCAACTGCTGGTGAGGCTCACGAAGATTGGGGATGGTGTTGGCAGGTAGAGTTCCTGGTTCCTTTGAGCTGTTGTTTCAGGCTGTCCCTCCAATCTGGTTTTGGAGGTCCTGCAAAATGGCACTCTGGTTTCTCTGAACTACCTCCAATGCATGGAATTTTCCCAGATAGAATTCCATGAACTGGTCCATCCTAGTGAACTTCTCTGTACTGGTGCTCATGAAAGCCATCACCATAGTTTTTAGCTCAGACATCTGGTCACCCTGTGCTGGGGCTGCTACAAGCTGTGGGAATTGCCTCTGCTGCTGCTGGAAGGGTTGCCCCTGTCTACACTGGAATGGCTGCTACTGCGGAAATGGACCCTGTTGGGTCTGGTACTGTTGCATCTGCTGAAAGCCACCAGCTGTTATTGTGAATCCGGGAGGCTTGGTGGTGTTGCTGTTGTTTCCATTCAAGGAGAAATTAGGATGCTGGCACCACCCCTCGTTATAGGTACCACTGTAGGGGTCAAGGCGCCGAGCATTGGCAATGAAGTCCAACTACTCCTGGGGGGTGGAGGACTCTCGCATGGCTTGATAATCCTCCACAAATGGTTTGAACTTTCACACCATTACATTGGGCTACAGGAGGTGCGGCCACGCCTCTGCCTGTTATGAGCCAGTTAGGCTGTTTCAATGTCTGAACCAGCTCTGCCATCTCTTGCTCAAGCCCCAATCTAGCCTCCATGGCATGCACCTCTCTGTCTCGAGAGCTCCTACCACTGGTCTCTGTCGGCCAAAGTACTGAGCATCTGATTCAGCTCGGGTGGAGTCTTAGTGAAAATGTATCCATCCGAACACAAAGACTAAATTAATCTCTAACTCTCCGGAGAAAAGGCACTGTAGAAGTTCCCAACAGTGAATGCATCACTAAAGCCATGATGGGGACACTTCAAGAACAGTCCCGAGTACCGCTACCAAGCATCTCGCGATGACTCATCATCTTCTTGGCTGAAAGGAGTGATCTCCCGCTGAATCTCTGAGGTCTTCAAGGCCGGATAGTACATATGCGCAAACTTGTTGGCCAGATCATCCCAAAAAGTGATGGGCAGTGTCGGCTGAGTCTTTAGCCACCTCTTTCCGTGTATCGCAGAGAGTGG